CAACCAAAGCTCTAAATTCCTTCTGGGTGTCCACCTTGGTTCTGATGACACCAGCCTTACCTGCATACTCGCACACATACACACCCACACACACACACACACACACACACAGAGTTAAAGGGGGTAGGGACAAACTGAAGGTAATATGACCGACAGGAAACCGCATCGCCACGGCAAGGTAAAATTAGTGACTACCTGCATGGTTTCTGAACTGTATTCACATGATAAGTTCTCCAGATACCTGAGATAAGCTGTGACCTTATGTGGTGGACAAAGGGAAGTGTTTAAAACTACACCAACAACTTTTACAGGGCTTTAAAATACAGGTTTACTGAGCTGATTCTAATGATGTGGAATCAAGAAAAATTTTATTTTAATCCGTTTCTCAGCTATGTCCATTTCTTTTTTCATATAAACAAAGATGGCAACAGGAAATGGATTTGTGTGAAAGCGGCTTTCACAAAAAACAGCGAGAAGGATGACGTTATTTCCTGTTGCCACCTTAGCTTAACTGAAAAGAAGTTGTTTTACCTGAGAAACTGACAGAAATTATATTTTTTCTGGACTGGACCGGATTTATTTTGATTCCGCATCTTCAGAAGAGTCTGACGATTTGGGAAATACCCTCAGAATTTGGGTGAACGTTATGAAACACCGGTACGGGGTTAAAATGTTCAGCAAGTCTCAGTTTCACAGGTTTACCTAAGATTATCACTGTGATGCGAGTCTATGTAACACATGAGAGGCACAGGCTGGGGCCAAAGTGAACATAGCTAAAAATGGGTGAAAAATAAGATTTATTTTTTCACTCACCAACTTACGAATATTATAAATTGTCTTTTAATTCTTATTTTCACACCGTGTTGATATTATTTATACAGTACACATTCACCAGCCACTTCGTTAGGTACATCAGTACAATCGTATGCAATTCAGCGCAACACTTCCGCCTTAACATCTGTGTTTATGAAGCTCACAATGTTTGGTTTTGGAAAAAAATTGTCATAAATGTACGAATTCAATTATATGTTTATTATTGAGGTCATAGTTAAAGGTGGTGTTGTACTGGACTACATTATACTTCAAGGTGTCCTCCCAGCTACATATATGAGAGGAACACCTATGAATATGAAAGTGACCAGTGAGTGTATATATTGAACTCATCCCGATATAAAAGCAGAGGGGGGAATCTGTAGACATGCAGTATTATCCAGTAAATGTTATCAATCTCACTTGGTGTTGTTCTTGAACTTGAGGAAGTAGTGGAGGCAGTTAATGCAGTGATGGGGTCCAGGTCCCTCACAGCCATTCTCATTGCATTCAGAGTCACAGGGGCCTGGTGGGGGGGGGGCACAGAATTAAACCCTCAAAAAATAGTCTGTGCCGTCGGACACTTGGCAAAATTAACCGCCTTGATGGAAAAAATAACTTTTGTTTATTACACTCTTTAACAGTGCCCTTAAACCAACATTACAGTACTCCTATTTTGCATAGTCAGGGGGCAGTAAAACTAACCTGCCTCAAATGAATAATGCTCTGCAAATCATGACAGTAGTGTGGCTAACCTGTCAGTGCACTGCTCTCTTACCATTGTACTCCTCAGTGAACTCATCATCTGTGGAGCGAGGTTTTTCGATGTGCAGAGATGAGTATGGGTGCACGGAGGTGCCATATAGCACCAGTGACCACTCCTTCAGCTTACCTGAGGAAAACAGAAGCACTGTAAAGTTCATCTTACACACAGAGACATTTCAGTCCGTCCTGGTGGTGAACAGCTCAGTATCCTTTCATTTTTATATGATATGTAAAGCTACCTTTATGTTAAAAAAAAAAAGTGATGTCATGATTTTTTTTTTTTTTTTCCCCCAGTGGTAGCATCGTTTGGCACGGCAGCTGGACCTGAACAGCAGCAGCAAACACAGGAACCGGGTCTAAAGTTTTCAGTACTGAAAAGGTATTTTCAGGGACCATACAGAAGATGGATTATACATATAACCAATCAGGACTAAATGGGATTATCGTGACTGACATAAGAGCTTGTTACAAACTGCTACTCCTCATTTAAGACTTTATTATGCTGCTAAATTAGTGGGTCATTTGAGCAGTTAAGTTCACTTCCTCCATTGCCACGCATGTGCCCCTGCTGCTCTTGGACTCAATCCAATCTCTTCTATGTTCTCTGTAAATCACATCCATTTCACAAAACACCAATTTGTACATAAACTCATGATTCTGTTTTAATTAAAGAAATGGTTAAGGCCGTTATACCAGGTACTTTCTGGCTGCGGAGTTGAGAAGGTGAGTCATAGATCTCTAGGACCCAGTCGCCTGCTGCCTTCTCTCCCCAGCAGTGGGTGGTCATAAACTCCCAGTTCTTAAAACCCTCCATGGAGTGATCAAACAACCTGCACATCAACAATGTGCGCGCGCACACACACACACACACACACACACACACACACAGATATCAGAAGAGGAAACAACTTTAGCGTTGCAAATACAAGAACAAACAATCACAACCACTCAACCAAGTGCAATCACAGCCTCTAATGAACCGTGGACAAACACTGTAGAGGGCTGTGGTTTACTTGAGATGAATGTAGCCTAAGGACATGCAGTGTGTACACTCCATTCATTACCCAGTCCTCCAGGGGTTTCCGTATTTTAAATGGTTTTCAGTCCTAATTAGAGATTAGTCTTCTTAACAAAGCAAGCATAGATGAGCGAATCTATGAATTCATTTTAACGTAATAAAGAATTCTCATATTGCTATGTATTTCACACCAATGGTCAAGACTTTAATTTAGAAGTACCTTACCTCTTATTTGATGACACTACTAAGAAGCTTTGTAGCTACTTTACTGAACTTTTACAGCTTTTGTTTAAGAATTCATTTCCAAAAGTTGTCAATAAACGGTCACAATTCATAAACTAACATTGCAGATAACTTCTTTATGTCACCTGTTGGCAAGCAGCTGAGATTTGGTCCCTGAGGGTGATGTCAGGTTGATTGACAGGTCCCCACGGCGAGGGTGTGTGATTGTAATACGTACAACCACGTGCTCCAGGTAGATCACATGGTGGTTGGGGTTGTCAGTGCATCCTGTCGCCTTGTAGACTGACCGAACAACATGCTCTGGACGGATGGTTCTGGGAGCAATTGAAGAGGTAGCCATTAAGAAAAAACAGAATCAAAGGTAATATATTTAGATCACATGCAAAATATCGCTTAAAATATCACAAGAAAAATTTGCAACCACTGCCCAAGGCTTCCTTCCCATTAATTCAAACCAATCCCTTTAGGATCTCCAGTCCAGCAATGGAACGAAAAAACAAGTCCACTCACATTGGAGAGCAGACGTCTTTACTGCTCCTCTTGTCTGTTCTACGATTTTTCACATCTTCAACATTTTCAAGTCTTTGAACAAATTCTACAACTATTAAAATGCTTCCAAGAGGGAAAAGAGCTAATAAATCAGAAGCGAACGAGGATGTTGAAGCAGAAGAGGATTATATTTCAGCGGCGCAAGTAACAGAGGTGTTGATTCAGCAGAAGCAGATGTACACCGCACTGTTGAGCCAACAACAAGACAACTTCAAAGGTTTTGTGCAACTACTTATGGAGACAAATAACAAGAGACTCGACGACATGACCAGAGAAATACAGGAGATAAAAACCAGTTTGCAGTTTACCCAACGATATGTGGATGTGATTAAAGCAGCCATGGGTGAACAGAAAATACAAACCAAGGAAACAAGGGATGATGTCTA